AAAATCTGTTCAGTCAAACAATATCTTTTTTTTTAAATACCTTTAATGGAAATTTTATCTTTTATAGTGATTTTTGCTGTAGATGGCTTAGGATACAACTATGCAGGACAGAGTATTAGTGATGTGTCCTTAATCCTGCACTGGACCAAAGCCTCAGTGTAACAGTTCTTTTATCTGCTGGTGACTTTGTGAGAAATAAACTGCCTGCTGAAACAGCACAAACAGTGTCTCTATGAAAAACTATTTTGTATTCTTTTTGCCAGGACTGTTTGTAAAGAGTGCACTGCTTGATCTATCATGGGAATAGGCATCACTTACAAAGTTTAGTCCTTTATTGAATCATATAATAAAGAAGGAGCTACTATGTATTACATCTATTAAATTTTTACTATTTAGTTTCGGAATGCAAAAATTAAAATTCTTATTCCTGGAAGTAATTATTAGCTTAATATTCTATTAGGGTAGAAGTAATCTAGTAAAAATCCTAGATCCAAACATGTATTTCTAGTCTCGTTATAAGAATACAAATGACACCTTGCACAAAATGATGATGCGAAATTATAATCATGTTAATTACAGCCAATGCATTTCCAAAGTGACTGGTGTTAAATTCAGGTACTTACTCTCTTGTTTTGTTCAGTTTTAACAGCAATAATGTAATAAATACTATACTAAATAGAGCAAGTATTTAATATTTGGATTCACTAGTGGCAAAACCAGTTTTTTTAGATTTCAAGATCAAAATTAAAGAGAATTTTGCAACTGAACATTGAAAGTTTCTCAAGATGAGATTTAAAAGAATCTGACTAAAAAAAAAATACACAAGAGGATARATGAACCTAAATAAGCATAGAAATAATTCAGCAATGAAAAAAGAAGTCTCTACTACTAATAGCAGATCTGCCCTGTAACAGAAAGGAAATACAGAATAGATGAATGCAATTCTAGTGAAGTCCAGGAGATATATGCAAGTGAAGAATTTAATCTTCCCTAATCTTCTCACATGGTGTGATTAATCCCCTATGTTTGGGCTCTGGAAGATGACTTCTAGAGATAACAACAGAAACAATATACATTTTTCTGCATATAAAATATCCAGAAAAATATAAAATATGCCACTATACAGTTACGTCCCTAAACAAAATGTTGCATTCTCCTATCCCCTCTTACAAATGTGATTCAGCAGCATGAGATTTGTGGCACAACAGAATAATATTCTTTGTTGTGCCTGGTTCCTATTTAACGATGCTCTCTGTACAGCTGCCAAAAATGCTGAAGGTCAGCTAAGCATGGATGAAAGTGTAAGGCCACACTCAGGTTGCGTAACTTCCATTAAAGAAGTTAAGCAATACCTATTTGGTAACCAGGGAGCTGGAGAGCAGAGTCATGGAGAGCAGTGAGAAGGCCCAGGGAAGGTGCTGAGCAGCGAGGAGCTGGCAGGGTCAGCAACAGGGACGGTGGCTCCAGGAGAGCTGGGGAATGGAGGCTGTCTCAGTGTGGTCCTAGCAACTGCAAAACTCTGTTCAGACAATCCCCACACAAATCAACACATAAAACCAGCATATTCATGTCATGTAAACAGATTATTCCTATTCTCAAGAACCGCATGCAGGAGGCAGTTTCAACGTAGTCTCACTGTACATTACTAGACACACATTTAAAAAAACTGGGTGGATGTTAAATTTTAAAAAAATCTACCTGCCTGTATGTGTGAATCTGCTACTTGACTAATAGGATTATCATGCTTAAAATATGCCTACATTCCTTATGGGAGAGGTGAAGGCCTTGAAAATATTCTGATGACTTCCATGTGGGGCAGAATGTAAGTTTGCTAAGGGCTGCAGAAAGGAGAGTTAAACATCAATTTTAAAGCCACTTTTAACCTTGGGCTATTAACATCAGTATCCCTGAATTTACATCATATTGAAGTCTGGATCTGAGCTGAAACACGTCCATGTGTACCTGACCTTCACGTTGCATGGAGGCCGACCCATACTTAGAAAAATAGAATAATAGCGCAAAACAGAATTTCTCTCTGAGAAACAATGCATGAAGAAAACCCCATAGGCTGTTATAGCCCCAGTGCATGCCCCAACACACTGCTCCCCGTTTGAGTAAACACATTTTCCCAAGCTGTTCTAGGTAACCTCTTTGGTCCCTGTCACTGCGTCAAGAGACAAGTCGTCCCCCTGCCAAAGGGCAAACTACAGCTAGAGATAGCTTTAAAATTTGGGATAGCTGCAAGATGTCATGAATAACTGCATACCTAAGGTTTAGGTACCAAGGAACAGTAACAGCCCAAGCAGCCTCTGCAATGGGGTCAGCTGCTGAAGCAGGTCAGAAACATTAGCAGAGCAGAAATGGCACTGACAGCACCTGAGCCAGAGCCCAGCACACCGACTCAGCTGCCTCTCAGGGCTACAAACAACCTTTTTCTTAAGGAGTAGAYGGGATAGCAGTGAACCCTAAAAATGTCCTAATATTAGGTCATATTTATACTTCCAGACTAATTACTGGAGAAGAGTCCTAAGGATAAGAAAGAGCTGAATCCAGCAGTAAATCTGTTCTTCTCTCCAGAGACTAAGTTAATGTTTAGGGCTTTTTCCCCCTCAAGCTGATGCACATTTTGTAATGAGCTTAGACTCCAGGACTAGCATCAAACAGACAAATCCTGAACAAGCATCCACTTCTGCAGACCAGGACAAAGAAGGGACATTCCTCTCCAAGGGAAAAGCCTGTCATGTCCCCAGTTCTGTAGACAGAACAGGAAAAAAAGTAGTTCAAAATGGAAAACTGATCATTCATGAAATATAAAAGGACAGAGAAGGCAAAGAAATAAAGCTCCTGCCTCAATGAATCTTCAGACTCAAGAGGTTTCACCAGAAGCAGGTCAGAAAAAAAGAAGTTTTATATAACTGTAATTTAAAAATTCTCTTTATCTCTGGCATGCAAGAGTTCTATATATGATAAAATTTCTGGATTTTCTTCTTCTCCTCAGTGAGAATGACACAATTTAAATCAAACGACCAGAAGGCCATTCTTGTAACAAAATATTTTTAACATTTAAAAAAACTGCAGTAAATCTGAAAGTGACCAGATGTGCAAACAGTATAAAGCAGTTTGAAATGATACAGTATTGTCTTTATTTAGACAGCACCTTGATCAGGAATACAAATGCTGCTTCTGCAGACAACCCCTGCTGCTGTCAGGCTTCACGTGCTCCATGCCACAGCTGTTGACTACCACAGAGAGAATCATCCATCTTTGGCCAGCAAGTTGGTCAGTGGTCATGAAGACAGSATGATGCAGAAACTTGTCCAAGAGCAATACTGTCTCATCAGCTCATTACAACATTAACATGCAGACCCAAGTGCCTGCTCAAGTGCCAGGGCTGGTGGGAGCTCCTGATGCCATCCAAGCAGAGCAGGGTACACAGCTCTGAAACCTTCCACAACAGAGATTTCTYTTGGCTCATACTGGACCTGTCACACTAAGCAGCATGCAACAGCACATGACCTCAACAAGAATGGGATTCTCTTTCCTGCCTGGTTAATTCTCCCCCACGTCTGCACCTGTCAAAAGATTCTAACAAAAATATTTACTGTCCTTAGTTCTTTATTAAAGAAATCACTCTCCTGAGCCCTGAGTTTTACTGTTATTTATATGCAGATGTCTGTAGGGGGGAAAAATTATTACACTGTCTTATRTTACCAGGAATATATGCAAAATTTCAACAGAAAGTTGTAGTCAAACAAAGCATTGCTGCCAAAACATCTGAAAGAACTCKGGTAGTTGGAGTCTTCTGAAGAAATGGAAAAAGCAACAGCATAAACTAATGGGGGGGGAAAATCTCTTTTCTAGTTGTAATCATCTCAGGTATAGCACATAAACATGATTTATGCCTATGGTTTTAAATAGCCCCATTACATTTTATTAAATAGCAGACTTTAAGAAAAAAATGCCATTACTCTCAGTATTATGCAACACTGGTAAGTGCACAGAGAACCAATTTGATGCAATTATCAGCTGCAGCTGTTCAAGTTACTCAAAAACCTCCCTGTCAAACCTGTAGTCTTTAGGACCCAGCAGAAAGGGAGGTATGCATGCAGGGAGTACTGGGCTTAAAGCAAATATTATTAGGGTGAAAATCCTGGGGGAAAATGAATTGGGATAAAAGAGAACCAACCAAAAAGCAAAGCCTGAATTAGATCCCTAATGATCGAGGTCTGAACTGTCTCAGGTTTTTCATACAGAACTGCATTAGTGGCTGGGTAAACTTTTCCTGCAAGCCTTTTATAGGCTTAACCCATAGTAGTTAAAATGAACAGTTGTACTACGCAACATCACATAAACTAACTTGCCAGAGCAACTGCCATAAAGTCAAATTATCCTTAACTCTTCCAGTTCAACTGAAATGAACTCAATGGGAGATAAAAATGCTGCATCTCCTATCAGAAAATTCAACAGAGTACACCAGAGCAGCTTACTACTGCCTGCCCCAGTGCTGAATAGATTAGCAAGTTATATTTTCCTCTTTATATTCAAAACCACAATGTATACGAAAGTATTTTTATTTAAAGAAACACTTAATCCACCTAATTATGAAGGCTAAAATATCCACCCATTGGTTTGTAGTGTGCAAGGTCAGTGGTTTGTGTCACACTGGCCACTTTTAACTTGCTAAGAAAGTGAATCCCATCTACTTTGTAAAAACACCCAATCCACCAACAGAGGCAAAGTTCACCCTTGGCTTGAATGCACTCAGGATCCTCAGCATGTGCATGGAGACTGCACTGCACATTTTCTGCAGTGGATACTGGCTAAACTTCGTAATGCTCAAAATGTCAAGTTCATGCTGTTCACAACCCAGTTTTCCACAATCTCAGCTGGTTAGCCTTTTTATTCTAAGAGAAGAAGCATATTAAGTCTAAAAGATATCTTTTAGTCTCAGCACTGAATTTTGAGAAATATCCATTTGACAAGAAGACACAAGAAGACAACACATACAAAACCATTCTTTATTAATGATTTCAAAAGTCATCTTCTGAGTCACGATCCTCAATTTTTTGGAGTGGCCGCCTAATACCAATTATTAAGTCTATGGATAGAAGCTSTGTAACACAATGAAGAACTGAAATGACTAACTGGTATTTGCAATACACTGACTCTAAGCCTTTGTCATTTACAGGCAGCGGCTGATTTCTTTGGAGTGAATTAATGGCTTCAAGATAGAAATTAGTAAAGCTGTCTCGTTTTGTTGTCCTGTACAAGGCCTTGGGAATACTCAGCAAAGCATCAGCAACCACATTACATATAACAGTTACCTCTGACTGCTGACACTGTTTTGCATAGTCCTGAATATAATAATGTAACAGGATTTCAAAGTAACCTCCWACTGGCAAAACTGATCCTGCTTCTATCAGAGCGTTGGAGTAATCCTGTGCAATACCTGCACAACTCTCCTCCTGTTTAAATGGAACTACATGGCAACATGTTTTCTCCACACCTTKGCCAACATCCAGGCACTCACAGGTAGTGACTGTATCAGTGTTGCGTACCACTAACACAGTGGTGCTGTGGTTCTTTCGATTGTGCACCAGCAAATCACTTTTATCAGGGTCGAAGATTTTTGTCTCTGTTTCATCACTAACTGCTTTCAGCTGACATTCAGAAACCTGGTTACTGTCACAAGAAGTATTTTCTATTACCAGTTGTTTCTGAGTAGTAGAATGCCAAGTGCAAACATCTGAGGTTTCACTCTGACTTTCACCTTCCGCTCTCCATTCCTCCCTCTGATCAACTGTTTTAAACAGCTGCTGCAGCATAGTGAACGCCTCTTGTAAAGCAGCAGCATGTTGCTCATTAACGCCATCGACAGGCCCACAAAGGATCAGGCAATGGGGCTGGAAGGCACACACACTGGTGAAGCCAATGTGGACACATCTCTTGGAGACAAGCAGCAAGGGCCGGCAAAACGTTACCACTGCAGTTTCAGTAATTTGTCTGTCCATGYTATCACCGAAAGGTGCATCAGGTGAGACGCCAGTGATTTCAGTGATAAGGGCCATTTCTTCTGATGATAAGCACTCTACCACAGACACACCATATAATTTGGCATAGTAAATAACCACTTCTTCTTGCTTCGAACTCGACAGTAACAGCTTAACGTTGTTGCTCTGCAAGTGTTTCATTAAGGCTTCTGTCCTTTTAGTGATCCAGCGCAGGGAAGCCTGATACTGACCCTCGGAGTCGACAACAAACTCGACGCCGGGGGCCGTCAGGGCGGGCCGCAGGGGCTCGGAGACGAGCAGGGCCCGCAGCTCCCCGTCCGCCGGACAGTAAGCAGCGAAGTCCCTACGGAGAACAATGCCGGGCAGGACCCTGGAGCTCGCCAGGGGCAGGCCGGGCACAGCGGCGTGCAGCTCCGCGAAGCGGCGGCCGAGGAGCCGCAGCACCTGCGGGCGGGCGGCGGCGGCCGGATCGCAGCGGCGGCACATCTCGGCGCACAGCCGCGCCAGGCGCCGCCGCTCGCCGGGGCCCAGCCGGCCGGCCAAGTACGGCTCCAGCAGCGCCTCCAGCAGCCCGGCCGGTGCCAGCCGCAGGTGCCGCCGCAGCCCCCGCATCGCCGCCCGCTCCAGCACCTGCACCTCAAACTCGCGCAGCGCCCGCCGCAGCCCGGCTCCGCCGCCCGCAGCTCGCAGCCCGTCCAGCACGGCCGCCAGCAGCACCACGAAGCTCTTTGCGCCGTCCCCCGTCTCGGCGCGGAGGCTGCAGGCGCAGGACACCATCACCCTGCGGGCACACGGGCTGCGTTAGGGAACCGCCCCCGCCGGACCCGCCCGGCCCCCTCGCCGCGGTACCTGGCCGCGGGCGGCTCCAGGCTCAGCGCCTCCAGCAGCCGCCGCCCGTCCCGCGTCGGCATCGCCTCGCCCGTGGGCCGCAGCAACAGAGCCC